GTTCTCAAGACCTTGAGGATGGGCGCTTGTGTCCACAATGCAAGGCCATGGCTCCTGTGTCTCTCAGGCAGGGGGGGGTCCCAGGACCCCTGACGATGCCCTGTTTTTGGCTCCTTTCCCCACAAGGTCACTGGTGCCAGATGTCCTGGGCGAACTCAGGCCCCACCGCCTCCTCCCTCCCCTGGGCCCTCTCCATAGGCCTCTCTGTCCGTGACTGGGCTGTCTCACTCCAGTGCCCCCGGCCCCACCCCACGCACCAACCTGCAGGGCGGGGGAGCACCAGGAGTGCCTCCCCATGCTATCTAAATATTAACTCCTGGAGAGGTGGAGCCTGGGCACCTGGACACTGAGGCAGGAGGGAAAGGGCGACAGGGACCTGAAGAAAAGGAAGGATGAGGGCCCCAAAGTCTCCATTCTCATCAGAGATTGGGAGCCATGTTTCCCTTCTTCTGGGCACTGGACTCTGCTACCTGGACCCCAGAGCCTCTGCTCCTCCAACACGCTGCCATCAGACCACGGTCATCGGGTGCCCCCAAAGCCCTTCCTGATCTCCTCCCTGCCACAGCATAAGGATCAAACTCTTCCTCATTTGACCCAATCACTTCCTGCCACTTCTCTATACAAATTTCAGCTCCAGCCAAGTAGACGGACTGCTCCCCTTCCCTGGAGCACACCTCCCATTTTCCTGCCTCTAAACCTTGATTTTCATGCCCGTTTTTCTGCTCGTCATTTTCTGCTTTGTGCATCTTTTCTCCACTGAAATCATGCAAACGCCAGGCCTCCCACAAAGCTCCCCCCCGCAAACACCGTGGCCTATGCTCTCTCCTGCTCCAGAACCCAGGGTGCCTGGGCAGGGGACTGGAGAACCTCGAACTCAAGGTGTGGAAGCCAGGCAGAATCTCGGGTGCAGTGCTCACTAGCTGTGAGACTGTAAATGGCCTGGCGCCTCTGAGTGTGAACTCAGCCACGTATGCTACGTGGAAACATCTCACCGCCCTAAAGAAGGGGTGCAAGCCAGTGTGCCGAGTGTGTCCCCGCACATCTGCTGAGCTCGGTACATATTAGTTTTCTTATTTCCAATAATTCTTATCTCCCCTGTCCTTCTTTGGGGATGTACCAAAAAAAAAAAAAAAAAAAGCAAGCAAGCTTTGTTATACCATGTGTAAGAAAGGGATTTCCAAAAGTCCCACCCAAGAACTGCCTTTTTATGGGTTTATCCCTCCAATTAAATCTCGAGTGCCTTGGGAGCTCTATCTTGTCCATCTTCTTTATTCACGGAAGGATTAGCACAGGGCTTGAATGCTGTGGGGGAAAAAGAAATAGTGGGACTGACTGCTCAAGCCCTCGCCCCGCCCACATCTGCCTAAGGAAGGAGGGGGAGCACAGGATTCCGGCCTCTCTCCTGCCTCCGCCTGGAGGGATGCTGGGGTGCTGGGCCAATGACTTCTTTCCGGGGCTTCAGGTGATTTATTTCCTCAATAAACACTTATCCTGTGCAATGTACTGCACTGGGCATGGTGGGGGAGGAAAAGAGGGACTATTTCTACAACTGGAGCGCTTGCTACTTAGCGGGATCATGACAAGCACATGCATTATGACAGTTCTGGACAAGCTGTGACAAGTACCATAAGGCAAGGACAAGTGAACGACTGGTGAGACCAGGGGCAGTGGGGACAGTCGCTCATCCCAGGGAAGTGCCAAGAACCTGTGGAGCAGAGGAGGAGCCCGTGGTCTGGTTGTGCAAGGGCGCTAGAGCAGGACGCGCCAGGTGGCAGGAACCCTTCGAATGAGGATGGGGGCATGCTTGCTTGATAGAGTTCCAGTTTTTCAGTGTTCTTAAAGGGGAATTGTGGGGCTAGGGCTGAAGAGGGAGACGGAACAGGGCTGGACCGGAGTCTTAAAGATGACACTAAGGAGCGTGGCCAGGACAGTGTGGCCTGGGCGGAGCTGTGGTTGACGGTAGGGAAGGTGAGTGGGGCCAGCTCGGGTGTCCTGGAGTGGAGGGCAGTGTTGGGAGGCACAGAGACAATGCCGGGAGTGAGTGCAGATTGGGACAGATCCCAGTGAGGCCTGGCCATGGTGGAGAGCCCCAGAGTCCAGGAAAGAAAACCAGTGACCCTCAAGAAGGGCAAGGAGTTGGTGGCTGAGATGCTGAGGTTGCTCAGAGAGGTGGCAGGCAGACTAAGAGCAGAGTGGGAGGGACTCTCAGGGAAGGGTCCTCTGTGAGGAGGGGAAAGAGAAGCCCAGATGGGGGTGTCTCTTTGCCACGGCAAGTGCTAGGGACTGAAGACTGTGACGACGGAGGCAAGACTTTCAGCTTGGTCCCTGGAAAGTCACTGTGTCAGCGTCAGAGGGACAGGGTTGAATAGATTGATGTAAGTGGAACCAGCTTGTGTGGCCTAGAGAGTGAGTGATTGTTCCCCCTTGGATATCCTGCTTGGCTCTCCCCTGCATTGTCTGGCTGTTTTCGGGACAGGACAGAGAAGGGAGGTCAATATAATATGTGAGCTGTTCTTAGCGAGCATTCTTGGCAATCCCAAACTGGCGTCAGATTTGAGGCACTAGTGGCTGCTGCCGCCACCTCCCTCCACCTGGTCACATTCCCCCCTAAAAGGGTTCATATTTCCCCAACAGCAAGGGGCGACTAGCAATTAGCCCCCTGTGGCCACTCCTGCTCACACCTGCAGAGACCCAGGCTCTCAGAGGCGAGCAAGGCTGCTGGAGCCAGGTGTGGTCTGAGGACCTGAGGAAGCCTCCTTCCTGCCCACCACCTAGCTGTGCCTGTTCAGTCCCCTCCAAAGTGCCAGCATTAGGGATCCACACTGTGGCTTCTTCCTTTTAGCATCTTCAAAGTCACCACTAGTTCAGGGGAATTGAGCTGAACAGATTTCCAGAGCCTGAAAAGCCACCTGGGGCATGGTGCCCTGGGCAGAGGCACTGAGAGGTTTGGCGAGGAGAAGGCTCAGAGCCCAGCCAGAGACCCAGGGACCCAAGGCAGGAGCAGGCACTGGGCACCTGAGGGCTGGGCTGGGGTGAGGGCTTTCCCTGAGACAGCACAGGCCTCCGGAGCGGCCCTTCCTCTCCCTCTCCCTTCTCTGTCCCTCCCTGCCAGGTCTCACCTCAAAAAGCAAGAAAGAAAACAGTGAGGGCTTTCTGGAGCCGGCCCCCAGAGGCCTGTCGGTGCTGGGGAGGTCAGAGAGGGAGGGAGGGGCCAGAGAAAGGCCGTGAAGAAAGCAGAGGCAACACAAAGGGCCCGGTCCACCTTTGAAGCCGTCTCTAACCCGAGCGAGGGAGGGGTGGGAGTGGGCCGGAGAGCCGGCTAGCAGGGAGGCAGTCTAGAGTTTTAAAGAATGTCTCAAATTCCTGCGGAAATCAGAGGGATTGTAACAGCCCCCCTCCCCAACACACCTCCTTCCCAGCCACCCCCCAAAGTCCAGTTCTCTACACCTGGGGGGCCCCCAACCCTTTGTTCTCAAGTAATTGCTGGGTGTTGCCCCTGTTTTAAAGTCCCATTGAACTCGCCAGCTATCAGCTGAGGCTCCAGACCACCCTCCCACCACACATCCTAGAAAACTACCCCCAACACCGCGAGGTCTTCACTGGGATTAAGGCTCTTTGTGATGGGGGAGAGAAAAAAGTAACCTGGTGAAAAGCAATTATGACGAGCAGTAGGGAGAATGTCTGTCCCAGGGCCGGGGACCTCCCTCTTGGCTGCGGCTGTTCCCACCTTCTAAATTGCCCAGTAGTGGGGGTGTCAGACTCTGCGCTGGCCCTCGACATCAACCGGGGCTGCAGCTGCACCCACCTCCTACTGTCACTGGACCAGGGCCCTTCCCCACTTCCTCTTCTTTCCTTATTTTTAGGCCATGGTAGGGAGTAGAGAGGAGAAGGGACGCATTCCATCTTCTCTCCATAATCCCCCTCCTCAAGGTAGTCTCAGAAGGAAGAGGGAGGGGAGAGGAAGCAGGCTGGAGGGAGTATATCCGCAGAAGAGAAGGCTCAGTGAGGGAAAGGGAAACTGAGGCTGGGGGTCCATCTCCAGAAGAGAGGGCTCAGTGAGGAAAGAGGAAACTGAGGCTGGGGGGGTCCATCCCCAAAAGAGGGGACTCACTGAGGGTAGGGGAAACTGAGGCTGGGAGACTATCCCCAGAAGAGAAGGCTCAGTGAGGGAAGGGGAAACTGAGGCTGGGAGGCCATCCCCAGAAGGCTCACTGAGGGCGTTTCCCCTGAAGAGCTGACCTGGTTGCGGCGGGGGGGGGGGTGTCCCAGCGAGGAAGGACCTCCCCCTGGACATGATTAAAAGCCAGCGGACAGAAGAGGCGGGTTTTATGGCCCGCGAGTTCCACTCCCCACACGCACACCTGGAGGCCCCTGGGAAAGCCCACCGGAGAAGCTGGGGTGGGGGGCAGGGCCACCCCTTCCTCCCCGTCCCGTTCGCCCCCTCCCCCGCGCCATCCCGGCTGGGCCGCCGCCTTTAATTGAGATTTGCCTTCAGGTGTGGCCCCCGCCCAGGCCCCGCGGGGACCCGGGAGGACGGGGTACGCCTTCTCGCCCCCTCCCCCTTCCGCCCGCCCAGCCCTGCTCCCCGCCCCCGCCCTCCTCACCGGAAAAAAGCAATCTGGATGCCCGAGGAGGCTCCTGGCGTCCGCGGGTCGCTCGGGCCCCGCCGGGCTCCGCAGAGCCCTCGCCCGTGCCTCGGGCCTGGGCCCGGCTGGATGCCCGTCCCGGCCCCGGCACCTCCGGGGGCTCGGGTTTTCTTCCCCAACAGGTAGCACGGGCCGCGCCGCGCGAGCCCAGGAAACCCGAGCCCGCGCCAGGGAGGGGCCGCCCGGCCTGGACGCGCCCTGGACCGCCCGCCTCCCGCGGGGCCGAGCCCGCCGCAGGGCCCCGGCGCTGCGGGCCGCGCCTGCACCTGCCGGGGCCACGCCTGGCCGGGACGGACAGGCTCGTTTCCAGGGGTGCCCCGTGGTCGGATCCCCCACCCCGCTTCAGATAACCCGTTTGCAGGAAAATGGTTTTATTCCGGGGATGGGAGTTGGGGGTGGGGTGCAGGCCTGGGTCGCGGAATGTGAGGAGTGGCCAACCCTCTATTCTCTCTTTCTCTCCCCCTTTCTTTTTTTCCTGAAACGAACAAAAAAAGTCCCTTCCTAGACTGGCCAGGAGGAGTTTGGGGGCTGGGGGCAGACTGAGGGAGATCGGGAGCACATTTTGAGGACAGCCACCTCCAAATCGTGTCTGCAAGGTCTCGAGGCCCCGGCCTTTCAGGAGCCCGGCTGGGAGGCGGGCGGAGGCTGGCGGCTGAGATCAGGGTGACACTCAGTTCCTCTCCAGGGCCTGCCACCTGGGCCACTGTGCCAGCCGCCCCTGGGGCACCGGCCTGCCCCTTCCCAGCGTGGTGCGGGGGCTGGCTGCTTCGCGGCCCTCCCACCACTCAGCCCAGTCCTTGGATTAAGAAGGGAAGGGGATGGGGAGGCGGCCCAGGGGTGTTGCCCCCTGCCTCCCTGACTACGTGAGGGGCTGGGGCCGCCGCGTGCGCTTGGTCCGGCGCGTGGGGGCGGAGCCCACAAACTCGAACTGCTTCTGCTTGTCTGCGTGGTTGGGGAAGGGCAGCTGGCCCTGGTAGAGGCGCTTGATGAAGTGGGCCTCGCGCTGGTTCTGGCGGCTGCGGGAGGCCTGGCGGGGCCGCCCCTGCCGCGTGAAGGCCATGAACCAGCCCTCGTGCCTGGCGTTCTGGAAGGCCGTGTAGTTGTTCTCTAGCACGATCTCCGTGAACACGCAGTCTTTGCTCTTCCCGCTGGGCTGCGGGAGAAGCAGGAGAGGAAGGGCATTGTCCACCTACCCTGGTCTGGGGTGTCTGCCCTTAGGGCCTTTCTTGGAGGAAGGAGGAGGGACCACGGGAACAGTAGGGCCCTGAGCCCAGGGAACTCTGCCTGGTGAAATGGCATCCTAGTTAGAGAGGCAACAGTGGTCAAAACACACTGCGGATCTGAATTGCAGGCTTCTCATTTAGCAGCCCTGTAGGAGGCTGGGCCTCAGCTTCCTGAGATGCAGGTGGAGATCAAGGTCCTGCTACAGTTCTGAGTGTACCCGTGCCCTTGGCATTGAGAATGCTCTTGCAGCCTGGGTGAGTAGTGTGGCGGGGCATGGGAGAGGAGGCAGCAGCCTCCAATGAGAAGAAAGTGCCAGCAGTCAGGGGTTGTGCCCATTTCTACAGACAAGAAGCCTGAGGCTTGAGAAAGAGAAGCAAACCAGAGGTTCTGTGGTCACAGGAGCCAGAATGGGAAGCTGGGACTGCCTGATTCCAGACGAAGTGGAATTCGCCCACCCAACAGGGCTGGGCCCACCGTGCAGTTTGGTCACAGCAGCTGCTTAGCATGTATCTTGCTAGCTGGAGCCCCCCCAGTCCCACTGAACTTGGGGGAGTTCCTGCCTTACCTCTGTGTCCCACTTTCCACCCTCAGCTGCCCTTAGTCCTCCACCCAGAGGCTGCAGTGTCAGGTGGATGCTAAACTCTTCCTGATGCGCGCTGGAGAAATACTCCTGACATCAGCCCACCCATCCCGATGGCTCGCCAGTCCCCTCAGAGGGCTAACATAGTCCCAGGGACTTATTTAAATAGAGAAACCAGGCCCAGATCATTGGCTCAGCCTGTAACCCTAGCACTTTGGGAGGCTGAGGTAAGAGGATCACTTCAGCCCATGAGTTTGTGGAGATAGGGCCTCACTATGTTGCCCTGGCTGGTCTCAAATAAAAAATTAGCTGGGCATGGTGGCATGCACCTATATTGCCAGCTACTACTTGGGAGGCTGAGGCGAGAGGATCGCTTGAGCCCAGGAGTTCAAGGCTGCAGTGGGATTTGATTGTGCTACGGCCTCCAGCCTAGGTAGCAGAGCAAGACTGGGACTGGAAAATAGAGAAACCAGAGAGTGGCCCAGTGGGTGGGCTGGGAGTGGGATGGGAAGTCTTTGTGCAGGAGGGTGTGGCTCAGAGGAGGGAGAGGGGAGTGAGCTGCCGCGTGTGTCCCCACCCCAGAAGTCCTGATTCTTTGTTCCTTCCCAGTCTCCCGCCTCACCTTCCCGATGAGCTTGCCCCTCTTGTTCATACAGATGTACTTCTCGCTCTCAGCCCCTTTGATGCGAACCCGGCTGCCAAATGTGTCGGTCTCCACTATGAGCTTGGCTGTGGTGGGGGAGGGGAGAAAAACCTCCGTCCATCGGGGCTGCCGGCCTATGGCTACGGCGAGGTCCGCCCAGCCACACTGACCTCCAGACTCAGGCGAGGGGGTTGGGGATGCTCAGGGCCTTGGGGCCCTCAGTCCTGACACAGGATCTGGGGATGGACCAGGAGGTGAGGCAGGGTGGAGGTGTGGGTGGCCTGGGGGGAGGGCCAGCTCTCACCAAACTTGTTGCCGTCCTCAGCAGTGGCGGAGATGCGACGCCCGGTGACCTGCACATGCTTGCCACTGGTCCGGCTGTAGAGCTGGTACTCACGGATCTGCCGCCTGCTCAGCTGGTCGGTCATGGCACCCTGGTCCCTCACGTACTGGTTAAAATTAGGAGACGGGTGATTCTCCCCCTTTGCGGTTACCAAGGGAAAAATAGTGTCAATTTGCTTTGGGTGACACCACCGCTGGTCCATCCAAGGGAAAGGGGTGAGGAGGTGAATGTAGTGGGGACAGGCCACTGGTCCTGCAGAGCGAAGAGGGCATGTGGCCATAACCTTCCCAGGCCCCTGGGTGAGCCAGCTGGCCAAAACCTCTTGGCTCTGCATCTACCCTAGAGCAGGGGTGGTCTGCCCAGGCTGGGGAACACCTAGTGACAGAGCACAGCCCTAGAATCAGGACCCTGGAAGGTGGAAGGAGCCTTCAGGGTTCTGTCCCATCCTTATGTTCTATGGAGGAGGGGCACAGGGCATACAGCTCATTAGGGACAGAACCCCTGTCCCTGCCTCTTAGACCAGAGCCCGTCACCTCGCCGCAGAACTCCAGGGACAGGGCTCCATTAGCCAGAACCATTAGATTCCTTCCTGGTCCTCCCCACTGTCCTTGAAAGACCCCTTGGCCCAGCACACAGGGGCACAGAGCAGATGGCGCTTCAAGTTAGGGTCACCAGAGAGTTCGTGGGGGTCTCTGGAGGCTCCTGCAAGGCCCCGTGAACATGTCTTCTCAGCACTAACCAGGGAATCCTGGGCTCATACCCTTCTTCTGCCCGGCCTCGACCCCTGGTACTCAGGGCCCTTCCAGCGTTCCTCCCTCCTCTATGGGCCGGAGCTGGGGCTAGGTCTGGGTAGTAAGGGAGAGCAGGCAGGCAAGGTGCCTCCTTAGCGGAGGGAGGCAGAGGCAGCACCGAAAGGAGAGGCACTATCAGCAGTGGGCCAATGACTGCCCCTGCCAGGCGGCTCCTTTGCCACAATGTAACAGAGGCTCCCAGCCAGTTGGGGGGATGCGCCCACCCACCTGCTTCCCCTTTGGAGGGCAGGAAAAGGAGCCATTCCCCCCCACCCACGCACTGTGCAAAGCCAGGAGGGATGCCACCTCCCAGCTAGGTCTCTCCTTTCCCATCTGTAAGGTTGAGTGGGGGAGCCCCCGTGTACTGCTTGCCCTCCATCCTGCAAGGTGCCACCCAGGCTAGGCTTCCCAATGCTGGCAACAGCCTGAGCTCTAGCTTTTGAGAATGCACCTTCTGTGTTGTATCTCTCTCCACCTGGATGCTGCTGCCTGTGCCGGGACGGCTTTCCCAGCCCCTGCCCCAAATCCCTAATTCCACCTTTATCCCAGGCCCAACCCCAGCCATCTGGACAGAGCTAGACCTAGGTCAGCATCTGTTAAGGGCTACTCTGTCCTAGGGAGGGGTGGTAAATATCACCTTTGAGGAGGGGCGTGAGGGAGCAACTCTGGGGCTGGCCATTTTCACCTGCGCACAGTTAACCCTTCCTGTGCACTGTTGCTCATTTCCAACTTCAGTTCCCCATAGAGCAGCCTCTGCAGGACCTGCCCCTCGCCCCACCCTGGAGCATTTGGGGTGGGGGACCTGCCCAGCCTGCCCCTCGCTGGCCTTCCTGCCAGGGGGTGGGGTCCTGCCTGTCCCAGCCCCGCCTCCTGGCCCAGGTTCAGGCCCTCCGCCCCTCTTGGCCGACAGCCTCCTCTGGCAGTCTGTTCCAGGTCAGGAGCAGAGAGCGCCCCCGCAAGCCCCCTCCTCTCCTTGTCCCCCTTCAAGCCTTTCACAAAGGCAGCCCCACGCCCCCCCACAGTCCACAGCCCACAAGTCCCTCTCCCCGCGGGACCTAGCCTGTCCCTTTCATGTTCCCGCTGCGGGGGGACCTCCCCTTCCACCACTGCAGACAGCTGCTTGTCAGACGGCCCCTCAAGCATGGCTGTGGTCCGGTCTGCTGGCCCCCCCTCCCAGGGGGGTGAGGGGGCACTTCAAGGGGGAAAGGACCGCTTTGCCACCTTCCCTGAGTCCTGAATGGGGCCTCAGCCAGGCCATAAACGCCCGGCCAGCGGCACCATTGTGCTAGTTCCCTTCCAGAACAGGTTGGGCCCACCCCCAGCCCCCTCCCAGCCTGGCTGGGGGCTTTCTTCTGGCTCCCCCTGGATGTGTGAAGCAAAAGGCCTGGAACGGGGCTGGAGCAAAAGGGGGAAGGAAAGGGGGGGGAGTTGTCTCTCCCTCTCCCACCCCCCCACTGCTTCAAAGGCTGCCCCTTTCCCTCTCCCAGAGAAAAGGCATTTACCTTCAAAAAAAGTCCCCACTGGATATGAAGAGAAGCGGCCTCTGGCCTGGGAAAGCCAAGCGGTCTCTCCCCAGAGCGGTTCTGGACCAGTGCATTTTAATAGCTGCACTTTTATGGAGGATCACAAAAAAGGGAGCATGCCTCGCACTGGGGGCTGAGACCTGGGGGTGGGAGGTGTGCATGGAAGGAGGTGGGGGGCCAACGTGGGCTGGGGGAGCGTGGAGAAGCAAACCCTGCATCCCATCCCAAACAATCCTCTTCAGGCTTGACCTCTGTGCCCTCTAGGTGAGGAGTCACCTCACCCTGGCTGGGCATTCTGGACATGCTCATGAGACCCCCCGACCCCAGGCACCCATATTGATGGAGTCGGGTGGCCAGAGGGACATACAAGTGATTTTGTATTGAAACTTATCCTTTCAGGTACTAGCAAACGCAAGCCTCACCTGAGCCATCACCACCACCCACTTCCAACCGATCCAGGGCTCCGTACCTGAGGTACCTCAGGTCCAGAGTGCCAACACTTAGCTTTATGGGGGAACCCGGTGGAGAGGGATGGAGAGGAGCAGAGACCCAGGGGAAGCCGGGAGGGTCCTCATAGGGAGGACAGAGATAACACCTCAGTCAGTCCCCTCCCTGTCAAAGGCTCACTCCCCTCCAAACCTCAGCGCTTCCTGGACCTGGGGAGAGCCCAGACTCTGCCTCTGTCCACCTGAAAGGAGCATGTTCCCCGCACCCGCCCAGGTTAGGTGGGGTGAGAAAATTGGGGGAAAGCCGGTGGGAGCGCCCGCCTACCTGAGTTTGACAGCAGAGAATCAGCAGCTGGAAGCACCTGTGCGGGTAGAGGAGGTAAGCCCAGGTGTGGGTGCCAGCCACAAGCCCAGGGTGCACCCGGGCCCCCGCCCAACCCTGCCAGCCCTGTGCGCGCACTCGTGGGAGTCCCGGGCAGAGGAGGGCTGCCCTGAGGCTGGAAATGGCAACAAAACTCCAGCGGGAGAGGCAGCACACTTACAGAGTGAGGCTGGGCAGCAGGCGGGCGGCTCCCATTGCTGGAGAGGTTCCTCAGGCGGTTGCCCCCCTGCCCCCAAGCTCAGGAGCAGATATGGGCAGTCCCCAGGAGTAGAGTCCCAGAGAAGCCAAGGTCTCTCCAAGCCACAGGTTTTCAGGGGGGCGAGAAGAAGAGAAAGGGGAGGAGGAGGAGAGAGAAGAGGGAGGAGGAGGGGGAGGAGGAGGGCGTAATTGGGAGACTGAGGTATGAGGTGTCCACCTTCCTGGCCAGTGAGGCTGCAAAGCAGATGCGGGTGGGGGTGTGTGCTCTGTGCCCTCTGGGCTGCCCGTCTCTCCTGGGCCACCCAGTGCAGGGATGGAGCAGTGGGCACCTCCTGAAGGAGGTCTGCTCTATTCCTGACCCTCACAGACTGGCCAAACTCGATGCAGGCAAGCTCAATGTGTGGCAGGCAAGGGAGGGGAAGCCCCTCCTCCCCTCTCCGGGCTGTGGTCTCCTGCCCCCAGGTCTGGTGCCCCACCTCCCTAAGGGTGAGCCGCAGGTGTCAAGCGGGGCTGGGGGCTCTGGCTCTGGGTCTGGAGTGGAAATTCCCAGACGCAGCCTTAAGAGGAGGAGCCTCCCTCCAGGGGGCAGGGGTGGGCTTGGCTCAGAGCAGCTGATTGCCGGGGAAGGAGGGGTTAAGGCTGCCCAAATAGTGGGCGCAGTAGGTTGGGGGTCAGAGGTGGATTGGCAGGTACAGATGGAGGTCTAGGAAGAATCCCAATGGAGAGTTGGAAAAGCTGGCCTGAGACAGATACTGGGAGAAGAGCTGGGTGTCCTGGCCTAAGCCCCCTTTCCCTGGGCCTCTGCAGTGCCATCTGAGAGATGAGGACAGCAATGCCTCAGGATGTTGGGGGGTCAAGTGTGAAATCATCACACAGCAGATTTGAAGATGTCTGTGTTCTGAGACCCAGGTCCACTCACCATTCTGCACCCTGTTCCTTCTCATGCCTGTCCCTGGAGCCTCTCTGAGCTAGGAGCCACTCGGCGTCCCCTCCCTGTGTCCTGTGTCCCTGAAATGAAGTGCCTACCAGCCTCTTCCCATGACCTCCAGTCCCACACAGCTCAGTACCATGCCAGCGACTAGCCCATTTTGCAGATGAGGAAACTGAGGCACACTGGTGGGTAATTTGCTCAGAATGACCCAGCCAGTGAACAGAAGAGCCAGAACAGAAAAGTCCATGCTTTTTCTGTTCTGAGTGGATTGGGTTGCCGCCCTCCAGGTGCAGCCCCAAACCTGCTTCACTGTGGGGACACAGAAACCTTCCTTCGTGTTCAGGATTGAAGGTGGGATCTGAGGTCCTGGGACTGGTGACCACAGAGCTTCATGGTGTTCCCTCCCTACGGAAAAGTGGATGGCCGCGGCTGCAGAAGATGGGAGGGCTTGGGGGTCCAAGGGAAGAGCCAGTGTGAGCAAGCAGAGCTCAGGTCTCAGCTCTGGGCTCCCTGGAGTTCTCAGCGCCCCTAGGGTGGCAAGGGAAGGGGAAGTGGCGGATGTGAATTTATTTACCTAAAGAGATGACCGGGAGGGTAAAACTCTCACCTGTGGGTTCCTTCTCACCTCCCTGAGCTCCATCAATCCACAAAGTGGTCTGCCACCTCTGCCCCCATGCACGGACCTGTGCAGGCAGCTCCGGGCTCTCCTCTCCACAGGCTGTTCCTCAGGGACCCAGCCCAGGAGTGGGTGAGCCTGAGGTGGTGTGGGGAGGATGGTGTGAGCCCTGGCCTTGCTTACTTGGGTGAGTCCAGGGTTCTGGAATGAAACTCAAAGAATGTCAAAGCTAGAAGGGGTCTTAGGGATTCATCATTTGTTCCAACCTCCTCATTCCTCGGATGAGAGCCAGAGAGGGCAACGGACTCTCCTAGAGCCTCACAGCTAGCTGGTGGCATGGCTGGGACAAGGCACCAGCTGACCATGTGCCCACCTCTCTGCTTTCCCCCTGTGGATCCTTCCGGCCACTTCCGTTCCACGTTCTTCCCGTCATCTACAGCCTGGGTTACGCTCGGTCTCTTCTGACAGCTCTGGCTCCGTCCCTGGGAAACCTTCAACCTCATCTCCACATCCTCACCAGCACCCAGTCCCCAGGCAGGGCGTTAAAGAGAGCACAGACACATGGAGGGCACAGCTCAGGGCTTGGGTTCCAGGATAGGGGTGTCAGCTGGGGGCGGAAGGCAGGTGAGGGCTCCACTTTATGATGTCGGGACTCATTGGCCATGGGGACTGGGGGAGCTGCTCAAAGCCTCTGAGCCCAAGTACCTGGTTTCTATCCATGGAGCCAGGGCCTGCTGTCACTGGCCAGCCCTCAGGCCAGCCTGGGTCTCTATGGTAACAAATGCCAGTCAAGCAGACCTCAGGGCTCAGCCAGGGGACTCTGAGCATGGCTGAATGGCCTGCATCACAGCCAACACAGCCGTGGCTGCTTATCCCTTCCCGATGGGCACCTGCAGACCTGGTTTTCTTTTCTTCTTTTGGGTGGGGGCAGGGAACAGAGTCTCCCTCTGTCGCCTAGGTTGGAGTGCAGTGGCGTGATTGCAGCTCACTGCAATCTCCACCTCAAGCAGCTACTTGCCTCAGTCTCCCAAGTAGCTGGGATTACAGGCGCACACCACCATGCCCAGCTAATTTTTTTTCATTTTTAGTAGAGACGGGGTTTCACCATGTTGGCCAGGCTGGTCTCAAACTCCTGACCTCGTGATCCACTCGCCTCAGCCGCTTAAAGTGCTGGGATTTCAGGTGTGAGCCACCACGACCAGCCAGGCCTGGCCTTCTAACTTGGTTTGCTCCTTTATGTACATGAGGAAGCCAGTGGTGGGCCTCAGTGGGAGGGACATGGAGCCCTGGATTTGATCCCTGCCCCCTTGCCCTGCTCCTTACAGACTGTGTGACCTGTGGCAAGTCCCTTCTCTTCTCTGGTTTCAGGGTCCCAGTTTATAAAAAGGAAATGGCTACCACCAGGGATGCTGTCAAAATCGCTGCCATCCACATCAGCTGAGATAAAGGACTGGCCAAAACGCATCAAGTGCCACAAGAAGCGGGGCAGGGGCCCTTTTTCGGACTTAGCCTGAGTTGACCTAAACTGTCACACTTGCTCCCTTGACTGGAGTGAGCTGGGGGTCGGGGGAGAGAAGGAGGGTGGGGCTTATTAACATTCATTGCTGGGGAGGAGTTCAGGAGGTGATAAGGGAAGTGAGAAGTGGCCAGGGCTGCTGTGGTTAATCCCTACCCCCTAGTGCCAAGTTCAACGCCCCCCAGCCGGGGTCGTCTTACGCCTGCCTCTCCTAACAGCCCAGCTGGTGCAAACAGAGCCCACCTGCAAATCTGCCACTTGCCACCACCTGCTTCAGCCTAGCCCACCCTCCTCCTGCTGAAAAACAGAAGCGCTGGGGCAGGGGAAAGGCGAAGGGCAGAGGGCAAAGGGCACCCTATCGATGAGGATGGACCCCCACCTTTGCAATTTGTTTTGTTTTGTTTGAGACATCGTTTTGCTTTGTTGCCCAGGCTGGAGTGCAATGGCTTGATCTTGGCTCATGACAACCTGCGCCTCCTGGGTTCAAGCGATTCTCCTGCCTCAGCCTCCCGAGTAGCTGGGATTATAGGCATGCATGACCACGCCCAGCTAATTTTTTGTTTTTTGAGACAGAATTTCACTCTGTCACCAGATTGGAGTGTAGTGGTGCAATCTCGGCTCACTGCAACCTCCACCTCCCGGGTTCAAGTGATTCTCCTGCCTCAGCCTCCCAAGTAGCTGGGACTACATGTGTGCACCACCATGCCCAGCTAACTTTTGTATTTTTTTTTAGTATAGATGGGGTTTCACCATGTTGACCAGGCTGGTCTCGATCTCATGACCTTGAGATCTGCCTGCCTAAGCCTTGTGGTGGGATTACAGGCATGCGCCACGGAGCCCGGCCTAATTTTGTATTTTTAGTAGAGAATGGGGTAGGGGGTGAGGTTTCTCCATGTTGGTGAGGCTGGTCTCAAACTCCTGACCTCAGGTGATCTACTGCCTCCCTAGGCCTCCCAAAGTGCTGAGATTACAGGCCACTGTGAGCCACTGTGCCTGGCCTCCACCTTTGCAATGTATTTCCTACTGCCTGCTTGCAAACCAAAATCAAGTGATCACCAGTTTATCTGTTGCATACCCTCATGTGCTTGGGGCCAGGGGAGGGGAGGAAGTACCTATCCAATACGAGCTCAGCTGTAGAGAGGCCTGGCCGGCCCTCGAGGACTCCCATCACACGGTGGAGTGACTCCTAATTCCCACTCTAAGTTTATGAGACTTTGTAAACTGGGCCCATGCCTTCCTCCTATCAGCAGAGTGGTCAAAATCCCAGGCTCTGGGGCCAGACTCCCTGGCTCCTCTGCCAGCTGTGTGACCTTGGGCAAGTTGTCTAACCTCTCTGTGCCACACTTTCCTCACCTGAGAAATGGGGCTGGGCCAGGTGTGGTGGCTCACAGCTGTAATCCCAGCACTTTGGGAGGCCAAGGTGGTAGGATAGCTTGAGATCAGGAGTTTGAGACCAGCCTGGACCACACAGTGAGACCCCCCCCCCCCCTGTCACTACAAAAATGTGAAAAGATGAGCTGGGTGTGGTGGTGCATGCTTGGAGTGGGCTGAGGCGGGAGGACAGGTTGAGCACAGAGTTTGAAGCTGCAGTGAGCTATGATCATGCCACTACACTACAACCTGGGTGACAGTAAGACCTAGTCTCTAAAGAAAATTTTAAAAGAAATGGAGCCAATCACAATGCCCTTAAGGCATGGTTACGAGTGAGTGAGTCGTGGGTATTAGCGGCTGTCACTACAGCCGATCCATCTTCAAGCGGTGTCTGCCTCAGACCCTTTGCACGCTCTGCTCCTATTCCCAGCAACGTCGTCTGTCAGCTCATGAACCCACCCGCCGCTTCTTGTCCATCACCTCCTCCAGGAGACATCCTCACCAGACTGCTTCCCCTGCCCTCCAAATTCACCTGTCTACTCCCTTCAAAGCACCAGACAGTGAGTGAAACCATTGTGTTGGTTTTTGTTTCCACTAGACTGTAAGTGACTTGAAGGTGAGGAATTGGGTCTACACCGGGTTGCTGTGGATGAACCAGGTTCGAAAGGCCCCAGCTGCCCATGTGGAGCAGTCTCCCTGTCACTCTCTGGGTGACCTGAAATTACTGGTTTGTCCCCTTGCTGGAGGGTGGGACTCTGGTGACCTGTAGTGGCTTGTCTGTCTATTGGAAGGTGGGACTCTGGTGACCTGAAGTTAGAGGCTTGTCTGTTTCTTGGAGGGCAGGACTGCACGCTGTCTCATGGGTATTGGAAACATGCAGAGAAAATGCCACCCTGAGCAGGCGCGGTGGCTTATATCTGTAATCCCAGCACTTTGAGAGGCCGAGGTGGGAGGATCTCTTGAACCCAGGAGTTGGAGACCAGCCTGGGCAACATAGCAAGACCCCCTGTCTCTACAAAAAATGTTAAAATTAGTTTGGTGTGGTGGCTGGCACCTGTAGTTTCAACACTTTGGGAGGCTGAGGTGGGAGGATTGTTTGAGCCCAGGAGGCCAAGGCTGCAGTGAGCTAGGATTGTGCTACTGCCTTCCAGCCTGGGTGACAGAGTAAGACCCTGCCTCCAAAAAAAAATAATTGAAAATAATAAAGAATCCCAACCTGGCCTCTTCTACCTCTGTCTCTGGTCTCAAGAGAAGCTATAGCTGGACAGGAGGCCAAGCCTGGCTGTTGACTTTCCTGGGCAGGTGTTCAAAGAGCTCCCACCTGCTGGGCCCCACACCTGGGGGTCCTTGGCAGGATGCCAGGGTCAGCTCCCCACTGGCTTACTTCAGGCCTGGCCCCAGAGGGTGCTGGGGAGGGGCAGGGAGAAGCCAGCAGCAGCGCTGAATGGATCACCCGGAGTAGGGGCCCATCTGTGTGTCCGTCTGCTCCAGAAACTGCACCAGGGCCACCCCTGGGTGGACAGCCCTCGGAGTCCCCTCTGCACTCTGGGGAGAGGGCAGGCCCCCCCACCCCATTTGCTACTTCTCTCTTGGCCTCACCCCTATACTTGACTGAGCCCTGCTCCAGAGCATGTGGGGCTTGGTGCCTCTGTAAAGCTCACCCCGTCTACCCAACTTCGAAGGTTTCCTGAGGGTGTGGGCCTCTGGCTCCTGCCTGACACAGACCTTCACACGTGGGAGGTCCCTGTGACAAGAGCTGGCCCCTAACGGAAGCAAGTAAGGAGAGCAGGTGTCCCTGAGGTACCTATAGATGCTCTACCTGACAAGAGTAGGGCTGGGAGAAGACCCTGGGGGCTGGCCCCCTAGGGCGAGGCCCTTTCTGGTACCGGGAGTAGCCATAGCGCCTGGGTGCCTGGAAACCTAGCCCTGCCCAGAGGGAGTGTTCCAGCAGAGGGCAGACTCTAGGCTCTTCCCTCGCCACTGGTGCGGAGCAGGAGGGACCCGGCAGGCTCAGGCTGAGGGGGCTGGGTCCAGGGAGGAGGGCATGACCTCAGGGCCTGGATGCGCTGGTTCAAGGACGCCCTCTGCCGGGCATTTGGGCTGGCGCAGTGGGTAAGGAGGCCGGCAACAGGGAAGAGAAGGGAAGTCCTGACCAGACAACTTTATTGTGACCAGAGGCGGGGGTCTTTACTCGGGGCCTCCTGAAAGTGGAGAGTTGGGGGTGAGGGGCTCTTGTGTTGCCCCCACAATACCGCTGTCACATTCAGACAAATGCAGGGGTGGGGCAGGGGTGCCCCCTCCCTGCAGCAGAGGCCGGGGAAGGCCCACTCTGCATCGTGGCCCCCAAGGCGTAGCTCCTCATTTCTTGAATCCTGGCTTTTTGGATCTGGGTATGGCTTTGGCCTGTGGAGGGAAGGCAGGGCTCCAGGGTCCCATTCCCTCCTCCAGCCCAGGCAGCCTCCCCAAAGAGCACCTGCCTGTCCCAGGGGCTCACCCTCTGGTCCTACTCACCTTCTTCTCAGGGCTCTTGTCTCTAACTCTGGGTCTGCAACAGGGTGGAGTGGACCAGGAGTGGGATGGGGGTCAGGGAGAGAGCTCAGCTCCAGACCAGTGGCACAGCCCTCCCAGTGCCCACCCTGGGGACCACTCAGACTCTCTTCATTGCTGTTGGAAACAGTCTTGCTCTGTTGCCCAGGCTGGAGTGCAGTGTCGGGATCTCGGCTCACTGCAACCTCCGCCCCCTGGGTTGAAGCAATTCTCCCCGCTCAGCCTCCTGAGTAGCTGGAATTACAGGCTCATGCCACCACGCTCAGCTAATTTTTGTATTTTTAATAGAGATGGGGTTTCACCATGTTGCCCAGGATGGTCTCGATCTCTTCACCTCATGATCTACCGGCCTCGGCCTCCCAAAGTGCTGGGATTACAGGTGTAAGCCATTGCGACTGGCCCATTCTGACTCTTTTTAAACAAAGGGGTGTGTGTGTGTGTGAACACATGCATGCACATGTATGTTTTCCTTAGGCTTCCATCTTTGGTTACTTGTCACAAATGTCTTTGTTTTTCAGATGGGGTCTGGCTCTGTTGCCCAGGCTGGAGTGCAGTTACACCATCACAGCTCACTGCAGCCTTGACCTCCCGGGCTCACGTGATCCTCCTGCCTCAGCCTCCCGAATAGCTGGGACTGCAGGTGTGTACCACCACACCTGGCCCAAAAATGTCCTTTTCATTACAAAAGTAAAGTTAACCATTTTCTACAAAATATAGCACATGGACAAGAAATACATTACTTACAGTTTGCTTTACTGCCCACACTAAACATTTTGGTGTATTTTCTTTCAGGGTTTTTTTTTTTTTTTTTGGTCAAAAAATTTTTTTTTTCTTTAGATAGAGTCTTGCTCTGTAGCCCAGGCTGGAGCGCAGTCATGAGATCTTGGTTCACTGCAACCTTCACATTCTGGGTTCAAGTGATTCTACTGCCTCAGCCTCCTGAGTAGCTGGGACTACAGGAAAGCACCACCATACCTACCTCATTTTTGTATTTTTGGTAGAGACAAGGTTTCAAACTCCTGACCTCAAGTGATTCTCCTACCTTGGCTTCCCAAAGTGCTGGGACGAGTGTGGGCCACCACACACGCCCGGCCTGGTCAAACTCTTTTTAAAAATATGTGAAATAAAATAAAAATGACTTTATAGCCCACTATATAAACTGTCAATATTCTTGCCAGATGCAGAGGCTCACACTTGTAATTCCAGTGCTTTGGGAGGGTGAGGCAGGATTGCTTGAGGCCAGGAGTTCAAGATCAGCCTGGGCAACATAGAAAGATCCTGTCTCTAAACAAAACTTAAAAATTAGCCACGCATGGTGGCACACACCTATTGTCCTAGCTACTAGGAAGGCTGAGACAGGAGGATCGCTGGAGGCCAGGAAGTGAAGGCTGCAGTGAGCCATGATTTGTGCCACTACACTTCAGCCTGGGTGGCAGAGCAAAATGCTCTCATTAAACAAACCAACCAAAACTATACACATGCATTCCAGGTTGCTGTATTCTTCAGAAGCATTATGAAATATTCCATTGAGAAGACACATGTAGCTTAGTCAATCGTTACACTGGTAGACATTTACAATGCCTCCATTTTTTTTTTTACTGTTATTTGAATAATACCATGATGAGAATCTTTTTTAAAACTGTTTTTTGAGACCCAGTTTCACTCTGTCATCCAGGCTGGAGTGCAGTGGCACGATCTCAGCTCACTGCAACTTCCACTCAGATTCAAGCAATTCTCCTGCCTTAGCCTCCTGGGCAGCTGGGATTACAGGCAGGGGCCACCAGACCTAGCTAATTTTTGTACTTTTAGTAGACACAGGGTTTCATCATGTTGGCCAGGCTAATCTCACACTCCTGACCTCAAGTGATCCGCCCACCTTGGCCTCCCAAACTGTGGGGATTACAGGCATGAACCACCACAACCAGCCATGAGAAACATCTTAGTACAGATAATTTCCCCTGAATTTTGGATGGAATTCCTTGGAAGGAATTTCCTTCAGTGGAATTAGGTCCCAAGATAAGAATGTTGTAATGCTTTTCCAGAAAGGTGATGCCACCCTCCAGTGCTTCCATGCCCATGTGCCTGCGTGTGCAGGAATATACACCGTGTGTGCATTTGTACACGTACACACCAACAACACAGTATTCTTTCTAATACTGTATATCTCATTTAAGAGACTGGCTCATTTAATAGGTAGAAAGAATTACCTTACTTCCTCTTGTTCTTTTTCCAGCTTTTTTTTCTGGAAACCAAAAATGAGTGTATTAGGAGAGTTGGAGCCAGAAGAGACTCCCAACATCCACAGGGTCCCTGCTGAGCACCTGGACAGAAATGGCCACAGCGGCCTCGTCCCATTCTGCACACTCAGAAGGATGGCCCAGGCTCCTGGTGCCCCGTCCCTCTGAAGGGCTTCTGCAGGGGCAATACCTTCCAAACAGCCATGCTCCTTCCCCTACCTTAGCTACGCTCGTCGGCTTCTGGGGCACCAGCCTTTTGCCCTGTTTGACAGGGGATTCCTCCTCCAGAGATATATCTACATCCTCATCCTCATCATCTTCCTCCTCCTCTTCCTCTTCATCCTCTTCCCCTTCCTCCTCCTCCTCCTCCTCCCAGGTTAGGTCTGACGTTTCTGTGATAGCACGGGAAAGAGGGCAGGGGCATAGGTTCAGAGCTTCAGAATCGATGCCCACCTCCCACTGTGTGATCCAGGTTGCTCCAAGCACTGCCCTGGAGGAATCCCAGCCTGGAGTTGACAGTGGTTACCTACCTGCCACCTGTACAGGGTGGTACCCTTTCTGGTCCTCCTGACAGTAGAAGCCAGGCTAGCTTAGGGGATCTAGGAGAGCCCTGCAGAGGGCTGGGGGTGGTAGAAAGAGGGCAGGGGGAATGGCTCTGGCCGAGTAGGAGAGGGATTCATATTGGCCAAGGCTAAAGGTGGGCAGGGTTGGGGAGGAAAAGGAGGAGGGGGGGAAAGAATCTAAAAAACAGCTAAGGAACTAAAACCTTATCGTAAGAGAAGTGGGACCTGCCAAGGCTTTTTAGCAGGAGAGTACCCTGATGTGAACGAGGCCTGATCATACAGAAAAGAGGGCCAGTTGGAGGGTCTGGAAGGGGCCAGCATCATGCCACATTGCTATGGTCTGCATCACTGCAGCAGCAATATCCTCAACAGTGGCTCCCTAGTACTGGATATTACACTGAGTGCTTTTCCTGAGTATCCCATTTATTCTTCACAACTGCTCTTTGAACTTTGCAAGTAAGGGGCTGTGGCCCACAGAGGTCATGGCAGGTAAAGAACAGAGACCAGTGCCCTTGCCTGTGGCCTTCCAGGCATGCTGTGGCTTCCAACATGCTGGCTGTCATGTTGCCTTTAGGGATTTTTCTCCCAAAATTCAAGAATCCCTCCAATGTTTGAGTAGCCAGTATGTCCGGAGCCCCCGCTGGGCATGGTACCCTCAGATTTTCCCGAGCCTGAGCTCTGACTTACCATAACGCTCATGGCCACTGAGGAACACAGGTCCTGAGCCAGCCCGGAGTTGGAAAGTAATTGGGGGAGAAAGCTGTACTCCAACCATGGTGACCTGCAGTGGGAAGAAGCAGAGAAGACAGGGCCACTTAGGCCTGGCACCTCTCGGGGCCTGGCCTCAGGCAGAAATCCTGAGTTGATTTCCCTCCCTGAACCCTACACACTACTCATGGGTTGCATGGACCTTACTGCATTCTCAGCCCCGTACTCGCCTGCCGAGGTGGGCTCTGTCCAAGAAGAATTCGAACCTGGTAATCCCATTCTTGCTAAACTCACAGATAGCCTTCCAAGCTGAGGGGCAGCTGTCAGATAGGAGTCTGATTGCTATGAGCTGAATTATGGCCACTCTCTCATCCTCCAAATTCCTATTTTGAAGCCCTATCCTCCAGTGTGATAGTACTTGGAAAGTGATTGGGTGGGGAGGGTCTTGGGGAGTGATTAGGTTTGGGGTCATGAGGGCGGGACACTCAAGGTAGAATTAGTGCCTTTACAAGATGAGACACTATAGAACTCACTCACTCTCTTTCTCTCCACTCTCCACTTTCCTGCCCCACCATGTGAACACGCAGAAAGAAGGCTGCCGTCTGCAAGTCAGGGAGAGAGCCCTCACCAGAACCCAACCATGCCGGCCTCTGATCTCAGACTTTCAGCCTCCAGAACTGTGAGAAAACATCTGTTGCTAAAGCCCTCCAGTCTGGTATTTTATAATAGCAACCAGGGCAGACTGAGACACTCACTGATCAAACGAGAAGGCAGATGCATGATTTTATGTACAGTACTACTTTCTTTCTTCACATCAGACAGGTCGTGCCGACTCGTAACCAGGTTTGTGGAGGCACATCTTACACATGAGCGTGAAACCCCAATTATCACACTTATAAATGAAAAGAACCTCTACAGTACTACTCTTGTCTTATGTATAATGTATGGATATACATGTGAAAAAGCCTTGAAATATATTAAAATGCTAACCATAATTGTCAGTAGACATTACGGTATTTATTGTACTTATACCTTCCCAAACTTTCCGAATTTTCTAGAATGATGATAGATTATTTTATTTTAGCTTCTGCCACGAGCCAGGCACCCTGTTAAGTGTTTTATCTGCTTTATCTCATTTAAATCCTCATAAGAAACCCATGATGGAAATACTGATACTTTACAGAAGAGGAAACTGAGACTTAGAGTGAATAACTTAGAGCTTCTAAGCTCTAAGTTCAGACAGGAGGTAATAAGCAAAAACAAACTCTGCAGCCAGAGCCATTTAGAAGTGCCAGAGAGAATGTAATTCAGTGTTTCGACTGCATGGCTGGACAGTAAGACAGAAGAGTCCTAGAGCATAAAAAATGAAGAGAGGATGCCTTCTGATTAGTGATGAATGAAAAACAAAAATGAAGAGAGGCAGGTGCAGGAACTGGTATGCAGCAACTGAGGGGAAATGGACCTGAAAATAGCCAGGACTTTGGGCTTCAAAACTCACACACAGGCTAGGCTCGGTGGCTCATGCCTGTAATCCCAGCACTTTGGGAGGCCAAGGCAGGCAGATCACTTGAGGTCAGGAGTTTGAGACCAGCCTGGCCAACATGGAGAAACCCCATCTCTATTAAAAATACAAAATTAGCTGGGCGTGGTGGCGCATGCCTGTAATCCCAGCTACTTGGGAGGCTGTGACAGGAGAATTGCTTGAATCCAAGAGGTGGAGGCTGCAGTGAGCACCAAGATCGTGCCATTGCACTCCAGCCTGGGCAACAAAAGTGAAGCTCCATCTCAAAAAAAAAAAAAAAGAAAAGAAAAAAGCCCAAACTAGCCCTCTTCTCCTCAAAAAAGGAAAAACAAAAAATTAAAACCCTAGCCACCATGAAAGGAAACTAACAAGGAAGCATAAATGGAAATAAAGCTGCCTCCTGTGAAAGCCCACAGACCCATGGCTGTGCCTCTCACTTGTGTGGTTTGAATTACTCATTGAGCACCACCAAGCCAAGAAATGTGCATAAAATACCAAGCTTATATATTCCTGAGGTAAATGGCAGAAGCAAACACGAAACCACTCTATTGGGACACTCCCCAAACTCAGGCCACATCAAATTCTTTTGGAAAAAAACAAAATAAACTAAAGATGAGCTCACCGTATAAAATTACAAAACACACACGAAACAATCAACAATCCTGCTGGAGTCAACAGAAAGAAACCAAGTGACTGCAGACTCGCCCAACTAAGAACTTAAGAGAACACTCATCTAAAACAATATCAAATTAAGCTGGGTATGGTGATGCACGCCTGTAGCACAGGCTTCTCAGGAAGCTGAGGCAGGAACATTGCTGGAACTCAGGAGTTCAAGGCTGCAGTGAGCTATGATTGCACTGCTGCACTCCAGACCAGGCAACAGAACAAGATCTTGTCTCTAAAGTATGTATATACACATATATGTATGTAATAAGTTTAAAACCAAATAGATGCAAAAGTAGGAATTAGAACCATAAGAACAAGACATTATGAAAAAGACCCAAATGCAGCTTTCCAGACATAAAAAGCAGCAGCTGAGGCTGGGCATGGTGGCTCATGCCTATAATCCCAGCCCTGTGAGAGGCCAAGGTGGGAGGACTGCTTGAGGCCAGAACTTATAAACCAGCCTGGGTAACATAGTAAGACTTCAGCTCTACAAAAAAACTAATAATAAAAATTAGCTGGGCATGGTGACTCATGCCTGTAGTCCCAGCTACTCCAGAGGTTGAGTGGGAGGATCACCTGAGCCCAGGAGTTTGAGGCTGCAGTGAGCCATGATCATGCCACTGCACTCCAGCCTGGGCAACAGAGCAAGACCTTGTCTTTAAAACAAAAATAAAAGAAAACCTGAACAAAGGATTAAAAAGCAGAATAAACCAGAAGAAGCAGAATTAGTATGATCAATAGTGCTATGAGGAATTACCCATTATAAGGCACAGGGAGAGATTTAAAGAAACACGAAAGACCGGCTAACACGGAGGACAGAGTGAGAAGGTCCAACATATATCTAATTGGAGGAGGGACTAGTGAGACTGGAAGACAGTCAATATTCAAAGGGAAAACAACCAAGAGTTTTCCAGAAGTGATCAAAAACATAGCTCTTCATATCTGAAAACCTAAGTCCTAAACAGATAAATAAAAATAAATCTACACATGAACATATCATGGTAAAACTACAGAAAATAAAAACAAAAGATATTATCTTAAAATAAATCAGAGAGGAAAGACATCTCCAAAAAAAAGGAATAATCAGACAGATTGAGGATTTCAGCAGCAACACTGGAAACCAGAATAGAACAACAGCTTTGAAGCTGAAGGAAACTCTCTACCTAGAATGATATACACAGCCAAACCATCACGAAGGAATGAGGGCAAAATCATGGTATTTCTAGACAAAGCATGAGTAAGTTTACTATTCTCAGGCCCACTAAAGTATGTTTCTAAAAGAGATAAGAAATTAAATCAAGAAGGAAGCAGTGAGTGCAAGAAGCAGCCACAACCAAACTAATTGGTAAACAAAGTAAACCTATATAAGCATTAATTGGAAAATACAATAGTACTAGTAATGAGTTGTGTTGAGTAGGCTGACAAGTTGGAGCTACAACACTAGATAATATTTAAGTTAAAAAGAGGAGAATCAGGCCGGGCACAGTGGCTCACACCTGTAATTCCAACACTTTGGGAGGCCAAGGGAGGTGGATCACCTCAGGTCAGGAGTTCAAGACCAGCCTGGCCAACATAGTGAAACCCCATCTCTACTAAAAATACAAAAATTAGCTGGGCATGGTGGTGCACACCTGTAATCCCAGCTACTCAGGAGGCTGAGGCAGGAGAACCACTTGAACCTGGAAAGCGGAGGTTGCAGTGAGCTGAGATTGTACCACTGCACTCCACCCTGGGCAACAGAGCGAGACTCCATTTTGAAAATAAAAAGATGAAAAGAGAAGAATCAGAAAAGCTCCTTGGATTGTCTGAGAGGAAAGAAAACATTAATTTTAAACTTTGAGTCATGCATGATTGTTAAAACAATTAAAGATAACCAGTAAAAACTTAGAATGAGATTCTATAACTTCCAAACCTAGAGAAGGGGAAAAGAAACTTTCATCAATCTAACAAAATGTAAGAAAAGAAAATAAAGCAAGGAAAGCAGATGTACAAACTACATGCCACAAATCCAATTACATCAGCAATCACAATGAATACTCTACTGTCAAATAGAACAAAATCTAGCTACATACTGTGTACAAGATACATACCTGGAACATAAGACATAAAATGCACCTGAAATGGAGAAGTTGCTGAGGCCAGAGCACAAAGCCAAGGCAGGCCATGATACACTCTCAGCTCTGATTCCAAGTGAGAGACAGCCATGACCTAAGTGTCCTAGCAGAGAAGCCACATGATCTGACCTGTGTTTAAAAGGATCTTTTCAGCCAGGCACGATGGCTAATTCCTGTAATCCCAGCACTCTGGGAGGCCAATGTGGGTGGATCACTTGAGGTCAAGAGTTCGAGACCAGCCTGGCCAACATAGTGAAGCTCCACCTCTATTAAAAATAAATCAGCCAGGCAGTCCCAGCTACTTGGGAGGCTGAGGCATGAGAATCACTTGAACCCAGGAGGCAGAGGTTGTAGTGAGCCGAGATGGTGCCACTGCACTCCAGCCTGGGTGACAGAGCGAGACTGTCTGGGGGAAAAAAAAAAAAAAAAAGATAAAGAAAACAAGATTTTTGGCCGGGCGTGGTGGCTCAAGCCTGTAATCCTAGCACTTTGGGAGGCCAAGGCGGGTAGATCACGAGGTCAAGAGATCGAGACCATCCTGGTCAACATGGTGAAACCCCGTATCTACTAAAAATACAAAAAATTAGCTGGGCATGGTGGTGCGTACCTGTAATCCCAGCTACTCAGGAGGCTGAGGCAGGAGAATCACTTGAACCCAGGAGGCAGAGGTTGCAGTGAGCCGAGATCGCACCATCACACTCCAGCCTGGGGAACAAGAGTGAAACTCCGTCTCCAAAAAAGAAAAAAAAAAAAAATTTTTTTTTGGCAGCTGTGTACAGCACAGACCAGGAAACTTTCTGAAAAGAGCCAGAAGGTAATATTTTAGGCTTGCAAACCATATGGTCTCCATGGAGACTACTCAAACCTGCTGTTATGAGGAAAGTCAGCCATGGAAAGGGTATAAATGAGTGTGGCTATGTTCCAGTAAAACTACTTATGAAAACAGGCAGTGGGCTAGATTCAAGCCCTCTAGTTTGCCTACCCTGGAATAGACTACAGGGGGACCATGGGACCGTAGGTAGACCAGGTGGAAGGCCCTGCAATTAAACAGAGGCACAGACAACTGTCACCTGGACCAGGGGTAGCAGGGAAGACGGTCCATCTTCCCTGTGGAGCTGTGGTCCATCAGGGCATAAGACCGAGGCAGAGCAGACAACAGGACTGCTGATGTATCAGATATGGGTGTGGAAAAAAAGAGGGTTTGGGCCAGGTGCGGTGGCATGACTGTAATCCCCAATCTTCGGGAGGCCAAGGCGGGTAGATCATCTGAGTTCAGGAGTTTGAGACCGGCCTGATCAACATGGCAAAATCCTGTCTCTACAAAATACACAAAAATTAGCCAGGTGTGGTGGCACATGCCTGTAGTCCCAGCTGCTTGGGAGGCTGAGACAAGAGAATCACTTGAATCTAGGAGGCAAAGGTTGCAGTGAGCCGAGATCACGCCGTTGCTCTCCAGCCTGGGTGATAAGAGCAGAAACACCATCTCAAAAAAAAAAAAAAAAAGTTTTGTTCTGGCTAACTGGAGGAACAGCTATTTTCTGAGAGAAAATCAGGCTGAAGAGGAGGCAGGTAGATTAGAGATAAAAATCGAGTATGTGGATTTAGACATGTTAAGTTTGGGATATTTATTATATATCTATTAAAGATACAGAGTTGGATATAGGACTTGGAGCTCAAGAGAGGGTGGGTTTACAGAAATAGGTTTCTGAGTCTTCGTTTGTTTAGATGGTCTTGAAAACCACAGGACTGGATGAAATTGCTCCACTTCCGTTCAGGCATTAGATTCTCATGAGAAGCATGCCACCCAGACCCCTTGCATGCACAGCTTACAATAGGGTTCATGCTCCCAAAAGAATCTAATGCCACTCTGATCTGATCAGATGCTGGGCTCAGGCATAATGCCGGCTAGATGCTCACCTCCTGCTGTGCCTTCAAGTTCCTAACAGGCCACGGAAGGGTTCTGGTACTTGGCCAGGTGGTGGGGGACCCATGGTTTAGTGTAATTTTTGCAGACAACTTAACCCCCCCAAGGTAACACAGCTCTAGGAAGGGCTGAGCTGGGCTAGACCCCAGCTCTTTGCATGGGCTGTGCTGCCTCCCTGACATGGCTTACTTCTATAGGGTGAATGTACCCTCGTGTGTGTCCATTCCCCCCCAAAGGGTGAGGGTGAGGCTGGGGCTGGTGGCAGTTTTCCAACCAGCATGGAAAGGCGCACCATGGGGAGGACTGAGGCCTGGAGTGAGGCGATGGTGACCGGCTGCGTCTTCTTGTCCTCCCGGTTTCCTGGAGGCAGGATCTCCACGCGATGCATCTCCTCTTTGGCTTTCTCCCCTAAGCAAATCTGAGCAGGTTGAAAACAGAGGCCCCTCATCATCCTGAGGGCAGATGGAAGAAACTCACAGTCCCCTGTTGAGACCATCCTGCTCCCTCTTTTGGGCACACCTACCGTATGAAGCAACAGCTTGCAGTCCTGCTTCCCCTTCGGCTGGGGTCTGAAGGTCCAAGTCCGCCTCTCCTGGCTGAGCTCGCAGCCTGAGGAGGGGAAAAGGAGGAAAGTGGGGCCCTCCTTCCTCCCCAAGGGAGCGGCTCACCTGCGCACCGGAGGTGGGCGTGGCTCTGGGAGGGAGCCTGGGTCTCCACTCACCCCAGAGCACGGTCGTCACTGCCTTTTCCTCCGTGCTGCTGGTGCTGCTGAGATTCATGGCTCGGGGTGGAGGAGCGGGATGGCTGCGCAGCTGCAAGGAGGACGCCCGCATGAGGCCTTGCGCCCCGACCCTCGGCTGGAGAATGCCAGAGGCTAAGAGACATCAACAGGTACTGAGGCGTCGCTCGCGGCCGGAGAGCGCCTGCCACGGTCAAGGGCTCACCAGCCACTCCTGAAGGACGAGTACCCACCCCTCCCAGGGGAGCACGCAGCCCGGGGCCCAGCCGGGCCCGCACAGGACTGCGGGACTCTCGGGAGAGGGAGCTGCCCAAGGAGCCCAAGCTTGAAAGCCCGCGGGGAGGTCACCTGGCTGCGCTTGGGCCTGACTCAAAGTCTCTGTGGACCCTCTACCAGGCGCAGAGAAGCGGGTGTGCGCTCAGCTTGGTCCCAGCTCCCCCACCCAGCCTTACCGTCGCTGCTCCGCACGGGGCCAGTCACGCCATCGGCGCTCCCGGAGCGCAGCTCACCCTCATGCCCGCTGGTCGGAGAGCGGCTGCTCACGCCCAGGCTAAGAAGCCCGCGAAGGGGCAGGACAGGTGTCCAATCAGCCGCAAAAAAGCCGCCTGCCTCTCCCCTTCCCTTCTCCCATTCTTTCCTCCTCCGCGCGGCAGAATCACCTGGAAGGCTGTTAACGCGCGCGTCGCTGCCCTGCACTCCACAGCTGCCAGTGGCGTGGGTCTGGGTGGGGCGGAGGAAATTTGCATTTGTAATCAGTTCCCAGGTGAAGCTGATGATGCCGGCTCACGACCCTTCGTGAGAGCCGCTGTCCGGGCCAATGAGGACCCGCTGAGGCCTCCTGGCGCCCCCACCCAGCCCGTGGAGAGGAAGCCTTAGCCCAGCTTAGGAAGGGAGGCCGGCAGCCGGCAGGAAGCGGCAGATGGAAGCTCTCCCTCTTGTGCATTGCCTTTCTTTCTTTCCTTTCCCCATGCCTTACGCAGCATGGGCCTTTCCTAAGGGTCAGACAGCCCGTCCTTCCAGTCTCCAGTGAGAGAGAGAACCCTGTCTCCTAAACGGTGAGATCTCCGGCGGAGAGCCACAGCGGGCAGGTGGGGTGGGGAGGTGAGCGGCGAGGCGCCTCAGCAGGGGGTGGGGAGCGCGGCCAGCGACGCTACAGGGCCAAGCAGGCGACCAGCAGCGAATCCCAAACTCAGTGGGCAGTGAAGAGGACGTGGGGTTTCAGCGGATATGCCCTGGAGACACCTCAGATAACCAGGAATCTCCCGCACACACCTGGGACAGGGGCTCATTACCACAATGAGGCCAGAATCTTTTATTCCTGGAAGCTGGAGCCAGCTTCCCTGTGAATTGGCCCAGGACAACCCACAAGAGGCTTGGGGGCCTGCCAGAGCCCCCTGAGGCCCCCTGTCTCCAGCTGAGCAGTTCCGGTCTCCTTGGCTGTCCCTGAGCGCTCTGTCCCTGGCAGGGGACTTACTGGAGGTGACAGCCATTGCAGCCAAGTGTACGGTAAAGATGAGCAAATGGCAGGCACGTGCATGCCACGTACAGACGTTCAGGTATTCCCTCAACAAATTGTGATTCTGGCCAGGGCCTGGCCATCCCACAGTGAATACGACAGAGCCCCCTCAAAGGGCTTCCAGCCTCCTTGGAGAGCAGTGCTCAAAGCAAACTGGCTCTCCGTGGCCCCAGACCACCCTCCCCATGAATAATCACACTGATGTGAGGCTGCAGCTGGGGGTCACAGTGAAGGGTAAATGGAGGCAGGGAGGGAGATGCCCCTGGGGTCATGATTCAGAGCTGGGACGCTGGAACTGGACAGCCAGGATTCAAGTCTGCACTATGCTTTGTGATTTCAGGTGTGCTAATTCATGTCTCGGTGCCTCAGTTTCCTCATCTACTATATGGGGCTGCTATACTGGAACCATCCTCATTACCCTTTTTTTTTAACTGATACATATTAATTGTACATATTTAGAGGGTACATATGATATTTTGATACTTGCACACAATGTGTAATCAGCAAATCCGGGTAACTGAGGTATCCGTCACTTTGAACATTATTATTATTACTACTTTTTTTTTTTTGAGAGGTTCGCTCTCATCACCCAGGCTGAAGTGCAGTGGTGCAATCTCAGCTCACTGTAACCTCCGCCTCCCAGGTTTAAGCAATTCTCCTGTCTCTCAAGTAGCTGGGATTACAGGTGCCCACCACCATGCCTGGCTAATTTTACTATTTTTATAGAGATGGGGTTTTACCAAGTTGGCCAGGCTGGTCTTGAACTCCTGACCTCGCAATCCACCTGCCTAGGCCTCCCAAAGTGCTGGGATTACAGGTGTGAGCCACTGTGCCCAGCCGAACATTTATTATTTCTTTGTGTTGGAAACATTTCAAATCTTCTCTTCTGGCTATTTTGAAATATACAATAAATTCTTGTAAACTGTGCTAACACAAGCCCTTCTTATTGCTATAGTGCCCTCGTACCCACTAATCAACCTCTCTATCCCCCAATCACTTCCCAGTCTCTAGTAATCATCATTCTACTCTCTATTCCCATTAATTCTCTTTTTTTGTTTTTGGCTCCCACATGAGTGAGAACATGTGATACTTGCTTACTGTGTATCCACCCATATTGCTGCAAATGACAGGGCTTCCATCTTTTTTTATGGCTGGATATATTCCATTGTGTATACATACCACATTTTCTTTTTCTTTTTTTTTTTTTGAGAAAGAGTCTTGCACTGTCACCCAGGCTGGAATACAATGGCACAATATCAGCTCACTACAACCTCCGCCTCCTGGGTTCAAGCAGTTCTCCTGCCTCAGCCTCCAGAGTAGCTGAGATTACAGGCTCCTACCATGCCCAGATAATTTTTTGTATTTTTAGTAGAAATGAGGTTTCACTATGTTAACCAGGCTGGTCTTGAACTCCTGACCTCGTGATCTGCCCACCTCTGCCTCCCAAAGTGCTGGAATTACAGGTGTGAGCCACCTCACCCAGCCTCCACATTTTCTTTATCCATTCATCTGTTGATGGACACTTAGTGATTCCATATCTTGGCTATTGGAATAGTACTGCAATAAACAAGGGTGTGCAGATACCCCTCCTTTTCTCTGGATACTGATTTCCATTATGGAAAGCAATATGGAGATTTCTCAAAAAACGAAAAATAGGACTACCATATGATCCAGCAATGTCATTACTGCGTTACTTATCCAAAGGAAAGGAAGTTGGATACCAATTTCCTAGGAATCAGTATTTCTGGGATTATTTATCCCAGGAGTGGGATTGTTGGATCATGTGGTAGTTCTATTTTTAGTTTTTGAGACATCTCCATACATTTTCCATAATGGCTGTACTAACTTACGTTCCCAACAACAGTGTATGAGTTCCCTTTTCTCCACATCTTCACCAGCATTTGTCTTTTTGATAATAGTCATTTTAACTGAGGTGAGATGGTATCTCTTGTGGTCTTGATTTGCATTTCTCTGATGATTAGTGATGTTGAGCTTTTTTTCATATGCCTGTTGGCTATTTGTTTGTTTTCTTTTGAGAAATGTATATTTGTGTCCTTTGCCCACTTTATATTATTATTTGTTTTTTGCTGTTGAGTCATTTGTATTCCTTGTATATTCTGGACATTATTCCCTTGTTAGATGAATGATTTGCAAATATTTTCTCCCATTCTGCAGGCTGTCTCTTCACTCTGTTGACTGGTGCAGTTTTTGGTTTAATATAGTCTCATTTGTCTGTTGTTGTTTCTGTTGCCTGTGCTTTTGAAGTCTTAGCCATAATATCTTTGCCTAGACCCATATCCTGAAGCATTTCCCATTAAGTTTTCTTCTAGTAGTTTGATAGTTTCAGGCCTTAATCCATCCAAGTCTTTTATCCATTTTGAATTGATTTTTCTGTGTGATGACAGATGGGGTCTACTGTTCTTCTCCTTATCAATATCCAGTTTTCCCAGCACCATTTATTGAAGATGTCCTTTCACCAATGTACATTCATGGTGCCTTTGTCAAAAAATCAGTTTGAGTATGTAGATTTGTTTTTGGGTTCTCTCTTTTGTTCCACTGGTCTGTCTCTGTTTCTATACCAATACCATGCTGTTTTGGTTACTATAGCTTTGTAGCATATAGTTAATATTTATATTTGTATTTGAGACAGGGTCTTGCTTTACTTCCCTGGCTGGAGTGCAATGGTACTACTTCAGCTCACTGCAGCCTCCACCTCCTGGGCTTAAGTGATCCTCTCGCTTCAGCCTAAGAAGTAGCTGGGATTATAGGTGTGTGCTACATACAGTGCCCGGCTAGTTTCTTTTTAATTTTAATTTTGTTTTTTTATTACATTTTAGGTTTTGGGGTACATGTGAAGAACATGCAAAATTGTTGCATAGGTACGCACATGGCATTGTGATTTGCTGCTTTCCTCCCCATCACCTATATCTGGCATTTCTCCCCATGCTATCTCTCCCCAACTCCCCACCCCCCGCTGTCCCTCCCGTTTTCCCCTGACAAACCCCCAGTGTGTGATGCTCCCCTCCCTGTGTCCATGTGTTCTTATTGTTCAATGCCCGCCTATGAGTGAGAACATGCGGTGTTTGATTTGCTGTTCTTGTGTCAGTTTGCTGAGAATGATGGCTTCCAGGACCATCCATGTCCCTACAAAGGACACAAACTCCTTGTTTCTGATGGCTGCATAGAATTCCATGGTGTATATGTGCCACATTTTCCCTGTCCAGTCTATCATTGATGGGCATTTGGGTTGGTTCCAGGTCTTTGCTATTGTAAACAGTGCTGCAATGAACATACATGTGCATGTGCACTTATTCTAGTCTGATCTATAATCCTTTGGATATATACCCAGTAATGGGATTGCTGGGTCAAATGGAATTTCTATTTCTAGGTCCTTGAGGAATCGCCACACTGTCTTCCACAATGGTTGAACTAATTTACACTCCCACCAACAGTGTAACAGTGTTCCTATTTCTTCACATCCTCTCCAGCATCTGTTGTCTCCAGATTTTTTAATGATTGCCATTCTAACTGGCATGAGATGGTATCTTAATGTAGTTTTGATTTGCATGTCTCTAATGACCAGTGATGATGAGCATTTTTTCATATGTTTGTTGGCCTCATGTATGTCTTCTTTTGTAAAGTGTCTGTTCATATCCTTGGCCCCTTTTGTTTTTGTTCTTGTTTTCTTTTTTTTTTTTTTAAACAGGGATGACTACCTTTTTTTATTGCATTTTAAGTTTTGGGGTACATGTGAAGAACATGCAAGATAGTTGCGTAGGTACACACGTGGCAGTGTGATTTACTGCCTTCCTCCCCTTCACCTATATCTGGCATTTCTCCCCATGTTATCTCTCCCCAACTCCCCACCCCCGATGTCCCTCCCCTATTCCCTCCAACAGACCCCGGTGTGTAGTGCTCCCCTCCCTGTGTCCATGTGTTCTCATTGTTCAACACCTACCTGTGAGTGAGAATATGCGGTATTTCATTTTCTGTTCTTGTGTCAGTTTGCTGAGAATAATGGTTTCCAGGTTTACCCATGTCCCTACAAAGGACATGAACTCACCATTTTTTATGGCTGCATAGTTTTTCACGGTATATATGTGCCACATTTTCCCTGTCCAGTCTATCATCAATGGGCATTTGGGTTGGTTCCAGGTCTTTGCTATTGTAAACAGTGCTGCAGTGAACATTCGTGTGCAGGTGTCCATATAGTAGAACAATTTATAATCCTTTGGCTATATACCCAGTAATGGGATCTCTGGATCAAATGGAATTTTTATTTCT